GTCACTCTGAGCAGACCTTTTTTGTAAAGTAAGGCGTGGGATAGTGGCGCTTTTGTATGTACTTTTCTTTCAATTTCTAACATTTTTCTCATGTATCTTGCGTCACGATGGTGATCAAATAGTATCGAATAGAAATTCAATTTGTATAAACGTTTATAATAGGCAGCTCTTTAACGGCTGCCAGACATTGTCAGTCGTTTTATTGTTATTCATGTGACAATAAAGCTCTCAGAAAAAATGTTGTATTCATTATTAGCTTTGCAGAAAATTAGGCATTATTGTTCAATTATTTCCTCTATCATTCTTTTCTTTCAGCAACTGCAACATTTAATTTTTAACTCTCGATTATATACAGGAACAGTTCATTTGGATCCAAAACAAAAGTTTTAAACAGTTAATTCAACCTGAACGATTGATATTGTGAGATTCTAAATTATAGATGAAAAAATTTTGAACCTTCCTCTATCAATCGCCATAAGACGGAGGTTCACTTACATTCTGTATTTCAAAAATTTACTCAAAATTCCGTAAATTAACAATTGAAATACAAACACGTATCACCTAACTTCCTTCAACTATAAATGCCCATGGTAGAAATATATTACTTCTATCATGCAAATACCCGAATAATCGCAGAATCCAGAGCTTGAAAGATACATTTTTTATGGAAGAGAAAACAGGCTTTTATGTATGTTCATAAAGACATTCAAATAATACATTTCAACCAATCAGTGTAAACTGATATAATGTATAAACTTACATGCTCTTCTTACACCATTGCAGTATATCATTCAATCATTGGCGGATCCAGAAATTTGTCAAGACATTGGCACACAGTAAGCGAGTTTTTTTTTTTTAAGATAAAATATTAAATTATTATTTAAATTATCACATGAGAAAGGTATTAATTAAATGTATAATTTACAAAACATTTTATTTAAAATTATTAACACGAAAAGAATAATGTAATAGAATAATGTAATAGAATGTTTTTTTTTTTATATAGGAGTTTCTTAAATTAAAAAATATTTTTGGAATATCAAAATTTTATCCCATATCTCCGTGAAAAAGACTGTGGCAATAGGATGCAAGGATCTTGGCTTGGAGTACGAAATAAAGCACAAATATTATTTAGCATCTCCAGGAGGCTAACATTATGGTATTTCAGATAAGTTTTCTTTCCCCTAAAAGTTTCATGAATTACACTAAATAAAAAACAATTGCTTTGTGGATTTTTATTACATTTTTCAGGTGTTTTTTTTTAAGAGAGGTGTAAAGTACAGAAAAAATGAACTTTTTATTACTAGATAGAACTTACATAAAATGAACAGGACCTTATACGAACTTTCTTTTTTTTTCTATAAATCAGCCTTTGCTTGGATTTCCGACCCAAAAGGGTCACAGTACCATGCATAAATGTGGATCCAAAGATCCTGTGATAGCCTCCTCCGAGTGCAAAGACCAGAGTATAGAGTACTTCCAGTAAAATGTAGTGTTTATTTCCCAGAGTCAACACGGCACGGTATAACCAGTACGGACACTCCACAAAAAAATGCGTGTTCGCGCAGGCATGGCTGCGCAGCTTTTGTTTAGAGCCGGATCCAATGAAATGCAAGACGACAGGAACGTGTATGTATATATGTATATATATATGCATATATATATATATACATATACACACACGCACGGGGACACAACGCCTAGTCATGCCATTCCTTCTCATTCCTTTCATTTTTTCTTGTTCATTCATTTCTTATTCCTTCTCATGCTTTCTTCTCATTCTTGTGCTTTCTTCGATATGTATGCAACTTCAGATGACTAAGCATTAATGTCTCCGTGTACGTACACCAACAATTTTACAAGTATCCCTGGAAAATAGATAGGACACTTTCTTCTATTCGGCCCTGACATTAAAACAGCGAATGATCACGTGACCGGCATGTTGAGATCAAAGGTGCCGACACGAAGTAGCACGGCTTCCATGACGAAGTCTGAGACTCCAGGATCCAACTCGGGTTATTTGGATTGGGATTAGTAAACGATAGGATTCTCGTTTCGATCATTGATTCAAAAGTCGCTTCCAAATACTCATTGGCTTTATTGTCGGTGAATTATGAAAGAATTCCGCAATGGTGATGTGGAAGAATTCTTCTATAAGATGGTGTAATATAAGGTTGACAACTGCAGCAGAGACAATATCAGTTGATAAATTCCACAAAATCCAGTAGAAATCCAGAAAATCAAATCTTGATGTAAAAATAAAACCAGGAATATGAAGAAGCAGGATGCCATTCAAATTTAACCCGTCAACCGAACAAGAGTCTAATTATAAGTACAAAGATATATCACTGAGTCGTAGAACCTAAGTCGTATAGTTGTAGATTGATCAAAACATTGTGCGTTGATCTATGACTACGACTCGTTTCACGACTCAGTTACGACTCTCTTTGTGCTGAAACCCTAAGACCCGTATTCATAGTCGGGCCTTATATTTAAGGGTTCCTTAAATTTATCTTTAGATGCTCTACGAATTATTTCATTGGCTACTGAGCATCTAAAGATAAATTTAAGGAAGCCTTAAGTACAAGGTCTGACTATGAATACGGGCATTAGTCTTCTCAAAGAGGTATTCCTCCTTCGGCAGTCGAGAATTTGAGAATGGAATCAGCGACTTTATACGAACTTCTTGAACGTGAAAAAGGTAAAGCATGAACTGTGGGTATTAATGTAGAAAGGTGGTTACTTCTCAGTTTGTGAAAATTTTCGACAGAATCGATGATGCTTGCTTTCCAGCAAGGACATAGTCAGACGCTGTATAAAGCCGGCGGCACACGATGCTTGTTTTCTTGCTAGATTGCTAGCTAGAATAAATTCTTGCAACCATATTGGCTACGATGCAGTCACTGTCAGTATTGTAGCCAATACGATGGCAAGATTCTAATCTAGCTAGGAATCCAGCAGGAAAACAAGCATCGTGTGCTGCAAGCTTAACACAGCGAGTCGTTTTATCCTTGTTGTTTGCCAACGTTAAACAAGGATGAAACGACTCACTGTGTTACACAGTGTCTGACTGTGTCCTTGCTGGAAAGCAAGGATCGTGGATGTACATGTTCGGTCACTAGAACATTTAGCTTATTATTACATTCTATAAGAAATAAGCGACACGAGAAAAATATCAGGGTGCTCCGAGATTCGAACAGAGGCCTAGGTATCGACACGTAACTTTTTCCCTAAGGCAAAAACGTAAAAATTTGTTGTATGTATTTATGTATATGTACAATACAAATAATAATAACAACACAATCCGTAAAGGCCATACGAGTCACGAGCTGATGAAGGTGCCAACGATTAATTTCAATCTTAATTAATCATTAATGTGTAGAATCCTCTTTATTGAAATTATAAAATGTTCGACAAACACGTTACATTATTCGGAGATGTGAGACTGAAATTAACTAAATGTACATAATGAAGATTTAATTGTCGTTAATATAAACTTACAAAGCTCATGAAACATGTTGAGTGTTCCGTTTGAGGATCCACTACAGTCGGGAACCTGTAAGTGACTCATGTTGACGAAATACTCAATATTAATTACACATATGTATTGCTGAGGAGGACTCCAAAGTGAGTCGAAACGTTCAATAAAGAGGATTCTACACATTAATGATTAATTAAGATTGAAATTAATCGTTGGCACCTTCATCAGCCCGTGACTCGTATGGCCTTTACGGGTTGTATTATTATTTTTATTTTAAGAATTCGAGTCTACAGAAATTGTTTTTATGTACAATACATAAAAATTTTTACTTTGCACCTTTCCGTTCTAGAGAAAAAGTTACATGATTGATACCCTGGTCTCCTCCATCTGGTCTCCGTCACTTTACTATATTGGTAGACTTCTGTCCTGTCACCGAGCCCTGACAGCTGATAGCTTCTCTGTGACATAGACTGTAGAGAATATCGATCAGTCGCCCGAAGGACAAATTCGTCCTCGTTAGTGGATATTAGGCAACCAATCAAAAATCATTACCTCTGTGTAAGGCCGGTATCAGACTACGCATTTGAAGATTGAGATTGAAGATTGAAGATTGAAATTTGACCAATAAGGACAAAGAAATTTTAGCTCCTTTTGTTTCAATTGGTCAAATTTGAATTTTTCAATCTTTAATCTCAATCTTCAATGCGTAGTCTGATTCCGGCCTAACTATTAAGGTGCCGTCACATACAGCCCGTAATTCGTAATCCGCACCGGATGTCTGTAAAAATTACTAGGTATTGTGTCCGTAACATTACGTGTGTTTTACCTCCTTGTGTCCCAAGGAGCCGTAATCTCGTAAATTTCCGTAAAAATTACTAGTTATTACCAGTAATGCTTTTCCTAATTTTATCTATTTAACTAAATTTGACGATTTAATTAAAACTTTTGTTATAATCAAAATATATTCTGTAATTTTCTTAAAATAAATACTCTCTAAATCTCTAAAATAAAATAAAAATGAACAGTATAACTTCTTAAATAAAAATTACGTTTACACACGTCCGCATTTTGCGGCGACATGGGACAGGAGCATGTAAGCACGTAACGCAATTGCACTCCGATGTCAAACAAAAATAAACGTGCCATAACCTACTTTTAATTTATAAATAGTGATTAATTTGTTTGACAACAATTTTGAAATTAGAAGTGCGTAATGAATCTTTGATATATGTTATTAGTGCAAATACAACAAATGGTCTATTTTCTGACGTGCACTAGACTGCACTAGAACTCTTTTTTCACGTAGTTGCGGATTACGTGAGAAATATCTGCTTACATACGCAATCTCTAGATGCTTTTGCGGACATCCGGTGCAGATTACGAATTGCGGACAGTGTGTGACGGCACCCTTATCTTCGCTGTGCTTCGATATCGCTGCGCTCCGATATGTAACAAATGTTTATTAAATGCTTTAGGGTGCTATCTCATGATGGTCGATAAGTAATGCGACCAATCATATTAGTGCGTTACATGAACGCGCTAAACATAAATGATGCTGATTGGTCGTATTACTTTACCGAGATTCCGTTTTCCGAAATTTCGACTATCATATAGAAACATCCTTATGGCCAATTTGTTCATTTCTAGATCATTTTATCTATCAGATATCTTCCAGATATCTCATAGATAAAGTTATCAGTAACTTATCTAGAAGTGAAGAAATTAGTCATTATTCGACTCTAGAATTTGAACCTCTGGTTCTACTGGTAAGAAGTAGTTCGGACCGTTTGAAGCCAGTCTTCCTCCACTGAGAAAGTTCAAGAAATAGAAAAAACAAAAGCTAGCAGAGTCTACAGTCTTTTTGATTTCAATAGTGAATTTTTCATCCAATTTTGTGTAAATGTGTAAAAAAACTAATTAATAAAATACGAAATAGAGCAACGCTGTGTATTCCAATTTCGTTCGAATAAACGAGGAACATTGTGACGTGGAATAATCGAGATTACGTCAGTCTTATCCTACATTGTACCGTTAACGGTAAGAGAACATTCTGGAAAGATTCGTCTAGTATACAAAGGAAAAAAATAATTTATATGTGAGAAATAAAACAGTATTATTTCGTGTTGCAGATAAAATTTTGTCAAAATTTTGATAATTCAGTTGTTGAGATTTGACAGATGTGTTTTTTCTATAAATTATATTAAATACATTTGTAATATTAAATGGATGTATTTTAAATTTAGTACTAGTCAATTATATTTAAAAAAATATATAATTACAAACTCTCTTCTATGCGATGCAATGTGTTATTATCTCATATTTCTTAAACAAAATATTTTGTGTACTTTTCAGTTATAAAATGGCTAAGTCAGAAATTAACATGTTACAAGAGTTGTCGGTTAAACAAGGATTTATGCCTATTTATAATTTTTCCGAAAAAAATATTAGTTACAAGAAGCAATTTATATGTAACGTGGCTTGTAAAAAATTTATGGCACATGGTACAGGGAATACAAAAAAAGAAGCCAAGCATAATGCTGCAAGAAACATGCTGTCAATGTTGGCCACAAATTATAATGATAATGATAATGATAATGATGTTTCGTTACCAACAGTTACTTCATCAGTAGTTACTCCACTAGCAGATACTTCACCAGTAGTTACTCCACTAGCAGATACTTCACCAGAAGTTACAAACATATCACAAGACTCTGTAAAAGTCTGCAACACATCTCCAAATGAATACATCTCAAATGAACAATTCACTGTTGAACATAATTACATTGGAATGTTGCAAGTAAGTTTCATGAGTCACCTGTCAAATATTACAGCTGTCAAAGACTAATCATCAGAATAATATAATTTTTGTTCTATGTACAGGAGTTCTGCCAACAACGAAAAATGTCAACGAAAGACATTCGGTACGAACTTGTTTATGACGAAGGATTAGCTCACATGAAAACATTTACTATGAAAGTCAGTTTGGGATCATTATGTGAAAGAGGCACGGCACAGTGTAAGAAGTCTGCTAAACAAGAAGCTGCAAAAAAAATGCTACTATATCTTAATCCAAACGCAATAGCTAATAAAAACATAGACATACATAAGATCAATGATAAGGAGACACTTGAGAATAATATACGAGAATTCGGTACAAAAATATTAGATTGCATTAACATTAACAAAGATACTTCATCAGAGGAAAAGTTATCGGAAGATGCAAAGTCGATCTATCTGAAATATAGTAAAAGAACTAATGTAATTAATCAAGAAATCAATCCCTTATCAGTCAAGGACTTCCATATGTTATTTGAGAAGAATTACTCTAATAAAATTACATACTGTATGAAACAAAAAATGCAAATTATAATGGACAGATACGCCGATGATCCACATAAGATGCACAGTATCAGACAAGATATAGAAGAAGTATTAAAAGTTAAGATACAACAAGTCATTGCATATAGCAAATCACAGAACTACTTGATAGGCTTACGCTTGTTGTCCAATCCTTGTATTACGCAATTCGGCATAGGTGAGAATAAAACGATAGCAGAATGTCGTGCCATGTATAATCTCATAAGAGCTATTTTAATTTTTATTAATTAATTCTGAATGTTCGAATTCTCTTATTTTGTATATATATAAATAAATTCATGAATTTTTTATCAAGATTCATATATAAATATATAGAACGACAATTTGTTTATGGTTGCAATATTTGACAGTTAAGAATATATACATTTGGCTACACACATACATATGACTTTGTTTACACCGAGTACTTAATACGCGTAATTAACACTAACCAGTTTCTATTAAATTATTTTAATTTCGGTGATGCGTGTAAATGTATACACGATATGGCTATTTAATTAATCATCTAGATACATATTATATCAGCTTAGCACATCATTCTTTAAACGTATTAAGATAATAGAAAGATTACTAATTAGTACGTGTATAAAGTGCTCAGGGTAAACTAGAACTTGGTGTAAATTATGTGTATTTATATATATATAGTATATACACATATAAATATTTATATAAATATTGTAAGATTTCTCAGTTTATGATATTCCTAAAAAAATATATACTTTTTCAGATTTTATAAAATTTCATCAGAGAAATGAAAATTATAAAATGAGAAATCTTAGAATACTTCAGAATTTACATATATGAAAAATTCTAGAAAAGATGTAAACTTTCTCGGTATTTCTGAAAAGAGTTCCAAAAAAAATCTAGGAAATTTTCTAAAAAGTTAAAAAATTATTCAGAAATTTTGCAAAATTCTGAGAAAAATTTTCACCAGAGAGATTTCGATTTATATTATATGTTTATATAATGTTTATTATGTTTATTGTGTGTATATATTAATATATAGTATATGTATATGAGATTATGATAACGAGATTGTAAATTTATCTTTTATTGAATAAATATATAAATTAAAAGCATAATGTAATGCATGTGAAAGTAAAAAATTATTGATGTTTGCACTAATTAAAGATGTTTCACAAAATTGTTAATTTGTTCTTTAATAGTTTACACTTATACTTAAAATAAAATAGATATACAGTCCTAAGGCGGAATCCATAGACGGTGCTTAAGATTCGAAATAGCCTTAAGCTAGTGCATGAATCAATCAGAGCCGTATTAGCATCTTAAGACATTGCTTGAGATTAAGGCCAGTATTCATAGTAGGTTTTTATTTTAAGACCGTCTTAAGTAATGTCTTAAGTCGCTAATGCGGCCCTTTGATTGGTTCATGACATCTTAAGATTGTACTTAAGACGGTCTTAAATATAAGATCCAACTATGAATACCGGCCTAAGACCGGACTATGGATTCCAGCCCTAGTTTACATTGCTGATTTAAATTCGTACCAAATAGTAACTTTCTATTAAATTATTTTAATTTCGACGACGTATGTAAACATCATATACATGATATACGCGTAATTTAATTGATCATCTTAATTGATGCTTATTGTAGGAGCTTTCCAACAAGAGACACGGAATGACACGGTAAATCATTGCATCCTTGTTCGCCAATGTTAAACAACGATGAGGTGATCGTTGCGTCGCAGTGCCGCTTATTGGAAAGTTCCCTGTATCGTACACTAATAAGTATTCTTTAAAAGTGTTACTGAAATTAAGATGATTTAAAATTAAGAAAGTTACTAGTTGGTACGGATATTAAAAGATCGGTGTAAATTAGGAGTGCGTTCCGTTTCTCGCATGATGGGCATAATGCATCGTTTATCCTTGTTGCTCACCAAATATTAAACAAGGACAATGGATGCATCGTGCGTATCATGCAAGATACGGAACGCATCTTAAGCCGTAATCACACTACAGGCTCCTGACTCTGACTCGACTGCCAACTCTGACTGCCGGCCTATAATGGACCAATAATAATGAGACTGATTTATTGTTATTGGTCCATTATGGGT